GCCGTCGTGCTCGGCGACCGCTGCCCGAGCGGAGAAGGAAAAAGAAACTGTGCTTTCATCGGTGCTGTCGTTGCCTCCTCTCCTTCATCGTTTTCTTCTCCCTCCCCCTCCAATCCCCCATCCCGCCATCACATTGTATCGTCTCCAATCGTATCGGGAGCTCCCGTGGCAGAAGGGCACCCAGAACGAGGTCCTCCGTGACAGAGGGGGGCCATCGTAGGGCCCCTCTGTGACAGAGGGGGGGGCCAAAAAACAAATGATCATTTTAATGCGGCTTCTGGATTACCCGAACTTCACGAACTGCAGACCTTGGGCCCTCCGCTCTCCGTGGGGCCCTGTGGCTGAGCAGCAGACCGTGATGTTCTGCGATGGTACGTTCCAAAGCCGTGGCCCAGCCTGCGAAGCGTCCGCTGGCCAGGTCCACATGGCGATAGCCTACCTTGTAGGCGAAAGACTGAGAAATGGCGTCCCACTGGCAGGGAGCAAGCATACATCCAACTTGGGTGCGATGCTTGAGCCAATATGAGGACGGAATGCGGAAAGTGGGGAGAGGCGCAGCAGTGGCACCAGCAGCCATGCACGAGTGAGGAGCCGAAGGGTCCAGGGTAACTGACTTATCTAACCCCCCCCTTGTGGATGCCTAATGCACTGCTGCTTTGTATATTAGTGGGGCGGGGCTCGGACGAGGGAGGGGCCCCAGGGCCCGACAAAACAAGTCCAGGAACGCCTCCAGACTCGCGGGCCTCCGTCGAGCACGGCGGACCCGACGGCCCGTCACAGGCACTGAAGTTGGGTTCGTGAGCCCAGGGGCCCTCCTCTCCCTCCTCGGCCTCCCAAAAAAAAACCCAACGAATCGAACGCATCATCATCGCGACGGCTGCTTTCTTCCTGCGAACCGACCTCGCCTGGTTTTGCCAGCGCGTCGCCAAACAAAACCTCAGCCTCCTGGTGCGCGCGCTCTCGCGCCTCTGCAGTGCTGTCCGCTCTGGACGCCTTGGCCCTGGAAGACTTGGACCCAGGGGCGGGGGGGGGGGGGGCAGGGCGATGGGACTGGGGGAGCTTGGCCGCCATGCGTAGCGACCTGGTAAGAAGCTGGGCCCCAGAGCCACGAAAACTTAACGGAAGCCCGCAGTGGGTCTTCCACGGGACATCTATGATGGCTTCAAGTCGGGCGAGGTATGGAACAAGTTTCGAGCTGACCAAGGCAAAATCAATCTCTGAACCCCTAGCACTGGCTGTGCACGTGACAGACGCATTGCACGCAGTGGCGACATTACCCTGGGTTCGATCTACAAAACCTCGAGCGTTTAAAGCAGCCGCGGTCATATTCCAGTCGGCAAGAACTACCCGGGCATCTGGAGGCTGACCAGGAGGGCCCCGAGACGGCGAAACCTCTGGAGGTTCCCCCCATACCAGCCGTCCCCAGAGAACCCATACAAACAAACCGCAACACACGAAAAGCCTTTCATGTGAATTACTGAAGCCTGGGAACCGTCTGCTGAGGCATGCCCATCAGCAAGCAACTCGCGAGACGTTGGCAGTGAATGTACATTCCAATGACCCTGCGCTAGCAGCCACTCACCTCCCTCGTTGCCCTTTCCTGCTGGGCCTCTGAGACAGTTGAACGTGAAGGTCGCGCATGGTTCGACAGCAGCCGAAGGTGATGATCTCGAGCTTTCCCCGCCCATTCATCATGATAATCTGCTGCCGAGTGGGTCTCAACTAAGCCGATGTAGTGGTGCGTTGGGTGCTGATCTGACACAATGTAGTCCCACGCTTGCTTCCATATGCACGATAGGTTGGCAAAGAAGAACGAGGATATCTGATTGCAATCAGCTGCTTCATTAGGTACTGTGGCGGGGGGTGACGGCGTCGGCGCTCCAGTGGCACCAGTCGACGGACTCAATGATGTAGCCGCCGACGCCGTCCTGCCTCAGACCTCCCCCGCTGCCGTCTGCTCGGCGCGCTTGGCCGCCTCGGCCCTGCGCGCCGCCTCCGCCGCCGCCAGCTTCGCCTCGCTGAGCTTGTCCGCCGCCGCCTGCAGCCGCTGGGCTGCTGCCTCGGCGCTGGCCGTGGCGGGGGCGACTGGCTCGGGGGCCGCCGTCGCTGCCGCGGCCGCAGCCTGCGGGCTGCCCGCCGCCGCTGCCGCGCCATCGGCTGCGGCTGGCTCTGGGCCCGGCGCGCCGTCGGCGCCGCGCCTCCTCTCCTCCTCTTCCTCCTCCTCCTCCTCCTCCTCCTCCTCCTCCTCATCCGCCTCCGCCTCATCCGCCCTTGGCCAGGCGGTCCATCACGCCCTTCTTGGCCTCCGCAGGCTTTTTCTGCCAGTCGATGACCTCCCGGTGCTTGCCTTGGATGTGGTCGCGGGCCCCTCTGAGGTCGGCCTCTAGCTCGTGGAGAGCCTCCTTCTCCTTCTCCTCGCACTCGATCTCGTCGAGCTTGCTGAAGAAATCCTCATCGATCACTACCTCGAAGAGGGGGGGCTTGTCCTGCGGCGTCGTCGTCGCTGTGCCCGTGTTGTCAACCACCCCCATCTTCTTGGCCGTGGCTTGAGCCGCCAGGCGCCGCGACTCCTCAGCCTGTGCCAAGGCTTGAGCTGTCTCCGTCTCACGGAGCTCTGCTCTGCCTAGACTCTCTCTCGCCTTCATCACCTGCTGCACCGCCTGGTCGTGGCGCATGGACGCATCCCGCCACGCGCCTGACGCAAGCCTCAGGGCCTCGTCGGGCGAGACCTTCGGCTTCATGGCGGCCTTCGTCTTCTGAACCTCATCCTGCAGCAGCTTGACCAACTGTGGATCTGTGGTGCTGGCGATGGTCTTCTCCAACAGTGCAAGGGTGTCCGCGGGCTTCTCGGTGACCGAGCTGCCTCCTGCACTCTTGCCGTTGTTGGTGCTCTTGGCCTTGTCATCGCCTGCGCTCACCAACTTGCTGGAGCTGCCGTCGGACTTGGGCTGGTACAATTTGACCTGGCGGCCGCGCGAGCACTTGCGATTCCTCTCGAGCAGCTTGTGGTTGTACTCTGTACGGCCGCACGCACACTTCGGCCAGGCCCATGTCGCCTGTGTCATGTCTGGAAACGAATAGCCTCGGCTTTCGCCACGCAGAGCTGCAGCACAATCTGGCCGGGCCCGTCCTTGGCCCCGCTCCGGCGCTGACGCCTGCGTGCCCCCCAAGCACCCCGTGGCGGCGCCGAGGGTGTTGGCACCTCGCCAAAATGGCGAGGGCCCACGTTGCTTGAGAGGAGGGGTGGAAGGAGGAGGAGGAGGAGGAGGAGGAGGAGGAGGAGGGGGAGGGGGAGGAGGAGGACCAGTGTAAACCCAAGAGTCATCAACGAGGTTGGAATAACCCTCCCTCCAAGCTCCCTCATAGGCCTCTACAACGGTTCATTCCCATTGAGGGAACCTCCTCGGCGTAATACAACCGGTTGAAGACCCTCAAGCATCCCAGAGCATCGTTCTAGTGATTTCAACGCCACCGATCAATCTGACTGTTGCGTCTTGACGGTCCTGAATCGTGCCAGAACGCCATTCCTGGGACTTCAGCACCGCGAATCGACGTAACTGTTGCGCCCGCAGTTGCACCCGCATAATCCTCTTACCCCTTCCAAAACACAATTTCTCGTACGCTGGTCATGGGAAGTCGTGAAGCTCTTGCAATTTGGATAAACGAGTGTGCGCTGCGCTAAGGCGAGAGCCACATGTTGAAAAGAAACCGCCCTCACTCTGTGAAACCCTTGCATCTTGTCAAAGCGAATGTGCGCGTCGCTAAGGTGAGAGCCACATTTTGAAAACGATTCGGATTCAAACCGTGCAACTTTTGCATTTTTTTCAAACGAATGTGCGCGGCGCTGAGGCGAGAGCCACATTTTGAAAACGACCCGCCCTCCATCTGTGAAGCTGTTGCCAAGTTTCAAGCTTCGGACACATACATGGTGAGGAAGTCTCAGGCGACACGCCCGGTCAGGCCAAACATCTGGCCTCGGGGTGCGACAGGGAGACGTTTGACGGCAACCGGCCGCACAGTCCTTTCGTCGCTAACTCAAAAGCAGCCCCTCAATCCCGAGAGCGCGACGGCCAACACAGAGCGCAGGCTCCCTCGAGGCTTCGGGTAGTGGAGATTCTTCGGGGCAGGGTTTTACCGGGGGGACAACGACAAACGCAGTCCATATCTCGAAGTTTTGGGACGATTCTCGAGTTCTCGGTGAATCCGCGATCTTGAGACTGGGCATGTGCTGTTTCGGGGTCATGTCGGCCGAGGCGCGCCCGGGGGCTCCCTGTCGGCGCGGTGGCTGGGTCGCAGTGCCGAGGGCACCATACAGTGCCGGCTTTAACACATGCTCCGCGTGCGGATCATTCATTAAACATGCAGGGATCTAGTATTGACAACAATGATGAGTTCACGCATCAACTTATTCATACATTAATCATGTATCAAAAACCTATATTTTGAAACATCCGATGTATTTAAAAAACTGCCCTGTATGGGGGCCATCGTGGCCCCAGCACGTGCCGCCACGCTCCCACCCGGGCTGTCTTCGAGCCCTGGCCGCCCAGGAGGGCTCCCTCCGCCCCCCCGCCCCCCTCTCTGGCGCGGGCCGCCCGTGCCCGTGGAAGAGAGGCCTCGCGGTAAGCCGCTCGGGGGGCCTCTCGGGAGCATCTCGGGCTCGCCATGGAGGGCGTGCGCCCTCGCCCTCGCGCGCCTCACGGGAGCCACGTTGCCAGCCTGGAAAACCTATTCCTATCCCTAATGTTGGGCATCGCCTCATCACGATGGCGATCTGAGGGATGCCCTCAGTTTCTGAGGGTGCATCGCTGAGATTGTCATCGCCTTTGGCCGTGTTAATCTTAGGGATGGGGATGAGTTCGAGGCTGGTTACCACGGGCCATCTGGGAGCCCGATTTCGGGGGGGTGGGCCGGACTGAGCTCCGCGGAGGTCTCTGGGTGCCCCAGCAGGGACAAGCGGTGCATGACAAGTCGGATCCGCCCTCCTCTCTTGGCCACAGGTGTTCGAGGAGGAGCTCCCTCACCGCGATGACGGGCTGCCCTTTGTCATCCAGCCGAGCCGGAAGTTCCCCGTTGCGCTGCAGCCTTACGTCTTCCTGCCCGCTGGGGCCCAGGCGCTGCATCCCCCATGATTCCTCCCTACCTCTTGACTGGCTCCTGTGTTGAGGTGGCGGGTGGGTGTAGGTGAGATGGCTTGCGGGCGGGGAGGGTATCTTGACCCCTCCCCTAACGTGTCCCCCGACAGGCCCCTTGACACGTCCCCTGGCACGTCACCTGATACGTCCCCAGACGCGTCCCCTGACACGTCCTGTGGCATGTCACCTGGTGCATCCCCAGACGTTCCCTGGCACGGTCCCTGGCACTTCACCTGACATGTCCCCAGGCATGTTCCCTGGCGTGTCCCCATCAACGTCCCCTGACGCGCCCCCTTGCACGTCCCCTGGCGTCATCCCTGGCACGTCTTGTGACATGGCCCGTGGCACGCCCTGTGACACGTCTCCCTAGAAGATCCTGTGGCGCAGCATCGTGTGTATTTGGGACGCCACATCCTCGAGCGGTTACATTTTTTGTAATCGGCGACGTGGGACACGAAGCGTCGAACAACAACAGCCGTGACGCGGCAAACCCAACTGAGCACCGACATCAGCGGAAGTTACAGTTTTTCTAATACTTGGGTTTCTAGGGTCCTTCTCGAGCCTCGGGGCTGTCAGAGGCAACGTCCCGCGACGAATGATCGGTCCAGGCGATGGGTTCGATCCGGGCGAGGCCCGCGTCGTAAGAATTGTGTAGCTGCGTATAGGGCAGGGCCCAACCAACTATACGGTAGGTTCGCGTCGTGTCGACCAGCGGCGACCCCGCCGCCGACGTTCAACGTTGAACGCCGACGGCGGCCCAGAATCGGTCGATGTTGAACGATCGGACGTTGCGGAGACGGCCGATCGTTCAAGGTTGAACGATCCAGCGCGGTGTCAGGAACCAACGCCAGGGTCGACACGGCACGGACCTGCAGTAGCTGCGTATAGCGCAGGGCGTGGCCATCTTCTCGGAGCGCGTCAGGGCTGTGCCCAATTGGGCGGGCGCGGAGCTCCCCACGTGCTGCGATCCGCGTGAGGGGTGTGTCGAATTGGGCGGAGCGACGCTCTGCGACCTTGACTAGTGGGGCAGTAGGTGGAGCTCCTTATGAGCAAGGGCTCCCTCGAGGGCGCGAAGTTATTCGCGCTTCGCGCTTCGCGGTCCTCGTTCCTTCTCCCCCTCCTCCTCGTCCTCCTATTCTCCCTTTGGGAGGGCGGCGCGAGAGCGCGAAGTTATTCGCGCTTCGCGCAGCGCGAAGCGCGAAGTTGGGAGCCCTAGATGAGACATGATCCGCATGATGGGTTTGCTGAACCTAGCAGCAGAGGGGACGAGAAATATGATGCAGGAGGGGAGATGCCCTTCAGGCGGGAGCCCTGTTCTGCAATTGGACTGCCTTGGGATTGTCCTGCGCCCTTCGATCTGCAAGACACGCGAAGAGGTAGGATAATCAAGTTCAAGGAGGTGTCTAGCGAGGCTCCTGGCTTGAAACATATCCGACCTCGACGGGTGCAGCTGTTGCACGTGTTAACATTTCGACTTCAAGAATTGGGAAGTCTCAAGCGCTAGGCGTGATTCCCATTTTGAACATGAACCGCCCTTTGTCAGTGTTGCTCAGTTTTACACTTTTGGTCATAACTTTCAAGAAAGCCTCATGCGAGATCTGAAAGAGCGTGTTCTACCGCTGCTGGCGGAAAACCGGGGGGGGTCACTACCGGTTCGAACCCCTCCCCCCCCCTCCTCTGGAAAACCGGGGGGGGTCACTACCGGTTCGAACCCCTCCCCCCCCCCCCCAGTTCATCATGAAAGGGGGGGGGGTCACTACCGGTTCGAACCCCCCCCCCCACTCGAACTCGAAAACCGGGGGGGGTCACTACCGGTTCGACCCCCCCCCCCCTCGAAAACCGAGGGGTGGTGCGGACAGTGGTGGGGACGGTGGTGGTGGGGTCAGTGGTGAGGGGACAGCGGGACAGTGGTGGAGACAGTGGGACAGTGGTGGGGACGGTGGTGGTGGGGACAGTGGTGTGGGGACAGTGGGAATGTGGTGGAAACAGTAGGACAGTGGAGGGTACAGTGGTGGTGGGGACAGTGGTGAAGGCGGTGGCGAGGACGGCGGTGGGACAATGGGACAGAGGTGCAGTGGGGACAGTGGTGGAGACAGTGGGGACAGTGGTGGGAATAGTGGGACAGCTCAGTGGGACAGCGCAGGAGTCATGGGGACAGTGGGATAGTCGTGGAGAAAGTTGGGAGAGTGGAGCCGTGGTGGGAACAGTGGTGGGGACAGTGGGGACAGTGCGACAGTGGTGGTGGCACTCGTGGGGACAGTAGGGGCGGTGGTGGAACCAGTGGGGACAGTGGTGGTGAGGACAGTGGTGCTGGGAACAACAGTGGGGGATGTGGTGAGGACGGTGGTAGGGACCGGGAGTCGTTTGCTGGAGGCGAGAGGGGGGGTGGGGAGGGGTTCGAACTGGTGCCACCCCCCCCAGTTTTCGAGGGGGGGGGAAGGGTTCGAACTGGTAGTGACCCCCCCCGGTTTTCGAGTTCGAGGGGGGGGGGGGGGGGTTAGGGGAGGGGGTGTTTTGCCAGGGGAAGGGAGGGGGGGGGGATCCAGCAGGGGAGGGGGGGGGGGGGGAGACCCCCGGGCTCCGGAGGAAAAGGGCGGCAATTTTCCACAGTAAAGCGGCGGTGGATCACGCTCTCTCCGAGATCTCCATGTGGACACATGGACCTTCATCATTAGAACTGTTGGAAGCTTTTGAGGCGAAAGTGCGTGGCGCTATGGCGAGAGCCACGTCGTGTAAGCGACCTGCCCTCCATCCTTGTAACGGTGGAAAGCTTTTAAAACGAAAGCGGGCGGCGCTGAGGCGAAAGCCGCATTTGAAAATAACCCGCCCCTCCATCCCTACAAATGTTGGAAGCCTCTCAGACAGGTGTGCGCGACACTGAGCCGAGAACTACACTTCGAAACAACGGCCCGTTGTTCTTCCGTGTAGCAGTTGGGCATGCCAATATTTAGGATCATATGTGGTAGGGAAGGCGAAACACCTGCCACGGCTTAGTCTCGTGGCGCGACGAGGAGGGGTCATTTGTAAGACAGAGGGACGGGAGAGGATTGGACGTTGTGTGCTGCAGATTCAGAACGAGGACCAAGCAACACAGGAGGGCTGGGGAATGTCACGACGTCGGACGTGTCTTGCAACTGTCGTCGCTGTTTGCTCAGCCCGGTGGAAGCTTCGGGACTGGGCGGACGTGAGGCAGGTTTCGGAAAGCCCCCTGGCAGGAGAAGTCCAATCAGGGCATATCCTTCGGTAGCGTCGACGTCCACGCGGGGGCTATCGTGAAAGTCCTGACGAAGGCCAGGGTGCTGATGCCAGTGCCGAAGTCGACGTCGGAAGAGTGGATGCAGTTTCTCAGAATTATGGACGAGGCAGGCCACGAGGGTTGGATCAGGTACCACTCGCCCTCCAAGGAGGAGAACGTCGTGACGTGTCAAATCGCATCGACTGGCTCCGACACGGCGCAGAGTTGGGTATCTGTCCTCCCGCGCAAGGAGCCCCTTCCAATTTACGGCCTACCTGGACGATCGAACGTCTCCGCTCAGATCTTGCACTCGGGGGAGATGGCAGAGGTCAAGCAGAAGCTCTCAACGGGCGACCTGAATTTCTTCCAGCTCGCCAAAGGTGGCTGGATCTGCGAGACGGACGAGAAGGGGAAACAGGCGCTCGATGTTCTCGAGCGTGAGCCCCACGAGTGGATCTATGTCTGCCAGGACAAGGACGGCGCGGCGATCAAGAAACACCCCACCCGCTGCAAGCAGAGCGGCACGGGCCAGTATCTCAAGCACAGGGCCCGGGGGATGGTGTCGGAGAAGATCACGTTCACCAACGGCGACGTCTTCCTGAAGCTCAAGCCCCCCTCGCACGAGGGGTGGATCCCCCTCGCCAAGAAGGACGGGCAGCCGAAGATGAAGGCCCTGCAGGCCCTCGCCCCCAAGGCAGGAGGAGCCCAGGCCCGGGGGCGGGGGGGGGGGGGGCAGACCGTGCCAGACATCCAGCCGCCCGCGGCGAGTCCCACCGCCGTGCCCGGGGCTCTGGGTACGAAGCCTGTTGGATGCGTGTTGGGGTCTCGCGGGAGGCCTCTTCGGGGGCCTCTTGGAGGCAGTTTTGAGGTTTCCTGAGGGGGGGGGGGGGGGGGGGGGGGGCGTTTGGGCACTCTTCTGGGGGCCTCCTTTAGGGGCCTCCTTTGGGGGCCTCTTCTGGGGGCCTCATCTGGGGGCCTCTTGGGGGCCTCTGGCGCGTCTGGGGCGGAAGACTCGGATTTTCGGTTCGGGTTCGCTCTCTTGGGCGCCTTTTGGGGCCGTCTTGGGGCCCTCTTTTGGCCGTCTTGGGGCGCTCTTGGGCCGTCTTGGGGCGCTCTTAGGCCGTCTTGGGCCTGTTGGGCCGTTTTGGATTGGTCTTAGGAGCCTCTTGGGCTGTCTTTGAGCGTCGGGGAAGCCGGAAGGACGAGAACGCCCAAATCTTTCAAGCACTCAAGGAGCACTGATTTTTGCCTCTTGGGACCCTCTTGAGAGGCCTCTTGGAGGCCTCCTGGGGCGCCTTCGAGGCCTCCCGGGCCATCTTGAGGCCATCATGGGCGTCTTCGAGCGATCCTTGGCGACTCGGCGCCGTCTTGGACCGTCACCGTCCTTTTCTGAGCGGAACACGGAGGGACTACGTAGGTCCCCCGCTGGGACGTGGAGATAATACCGCGCTTCGCGCTCCACGGCCTTGGCTGGAGAGACTCTCTTCCCCTGGTTGGCCGAGCGCGAGAGGTCGAGAATGCACGACCGAGGGCCACGAGTCGCGCGGAGAAGAGGCGCGAAGGTGGGTGACCTGGTCTCCGCCCTCGAAGTCCACGCAATTGTGGCTGGTTCGTGGCACATCGAAGTCTACGCACTTGTGGCTGGTGCGCGGGTAGTCTTCCCGCTTCGCACGGCGGGCCGATTTTTCACCTCACATCGATTTCTCACATTTGCTCTTTCCATTGCCGAAGCGATCGCAGCCGAAGCTGCTTTAGATGTATTGCGCGGATTTGCACGCGCACCAAGTGCCTGTTCACCCAGAGGGCGGTCCTGTAGGCGTGTCGCATGCGGCCGGCGCCGCTGTGTTCTACTCCTCGGTAACAAAAGAAAGGGTTTCCATACCGCTACAGTGGAGATCCATGCCAAGAAACATCCTGCTTGCTTCCAGGGTGCCCTGGGTTTCTTGGGTTTCGATGGTCTTGCTATGGAAATCGTGCCGTTCCCACACCAAAAGTCCATGGACGTCCTGGGGTCTCAGGGTTGCGTTTCTTGTGGAAGGTTTCTTGTGGTCGGGCCCCTGCTGTACCCTTCGCTCGTTCCCTCTTTGGGCCTCCTGGGAGGCCCCCGTCGTCACTGCTGGATTCGCCTCGCTCGGAATTTCTGGTCAGGGCGCACCACGAGAGAGGTCGGGGGAGTAGCGGTATCGGCACCTTTTGGCCGACTTCCCCCGCTTCCCCGAGCGGGCCACGGAGAAAATGGTTGTGGCCTTGGGCCCCCGCCCCAGCAGGCGCCCCAGATGGGGCCGCCGATGCAGCCCATGCGGCCGCAGCCGCAGGTGATGGTCTTCAGCGCGCCCCCGTGCAGCATGGGCCCGGCTGGCGGCATGATGGGCCCGGCCGGCGGCATGATGGGGCCGATGGGCGGCGCGGCCCCGGGCGGCATGCTGGGGCCAAGCACGGGCCCGCCAGCAGGCGGCATGGGCATGCAGAGCGGCATGGGCATGGGCGGCATGGGCATGGGCCCGCCGGCAGGCGGCACCGCCAGCGGGCCAGGGCCGCTCCGAGTCCGCCCGACCCGATTCCGTCTCGCGGGAGCCCCGCGGGCTTCCCCCGGCCGTTTTTCCTCCCAGTCGGGCACCACACACTTCTCGGAGACAGCATCCCAGGGCGCCCTCGAGTGCGTGACGTTTCTCGCGCCCCGCGCTTCGCGGCTCGGCCCCGATTCCTCCTCGTCCTCCTCTTCTCCCCTGGGGGGCAGCGCGGGAGCGCGAAGTTGCTCGCGCTGCGCGCTGCGCGCAGCGCGAAGCGCGACGTGAGGCGTCCTTGGGGCAGCATCCTGACCAAGTCCATGAGTGGCGTCCAGCCGTGGCCACCCGCCGCCCTCTCCCCGCGGAGCTTCCTTGCAGTCGGAGGTTTCAGGATGCTATTTTTATGGCGGGCTTGTCCCTCGACAGGAGGGATATTCGAAAATAGTCCAAAAATAGTCTGGGGACTACTTTTTGAGTATTTGTGGGCATCCTTTGAGTATTGTTTGATTATTTTTTATTTTTCGTCGAAAATCCTCCTGTGGTGGGACACGCCCGACTTAATGCTATTTCCCGCCCGCACCTCTGACGACTCGATTTGTCGAGCCGCCGGCCCCCGAAACTCTCGACCCCTTCGCAGCCACGCGCAGAGGGAGCAGGGGAAGGGGGGAAGGCTTCGCAGAAGCACCCCTGCTTCCTGAAGGCGCGGGCCTCGTCTGTATAGATGCAAGGCCGGCGCCCGCTAAGAAGCAGCCTCCTTCTACGAAGCCTTCCTCCCGCCCCCTACCCACCGGAGTCGGAGTCGGAGTCGGAGTCGGAGGAGGAGGAGGAGGACGAGGTGGGGAATAATAGACTTTGAAACGTAACCATACGAACCGAGAGCAACATACTGATAGTACTCATACCAATGACATTCGGAAGTATGGTGCTGGTGATAAGCAGGCTCGTACTATTTATGCTACTCGTATTATCATTTTTCGTAGCATGGTCCGTACACATAAGGTTGCCCATAAGACATGTCTTCATCTTTTGAAGGCTAGTAATATCAATATGTATAAGAATACTGAGAACATATAATGGTACTCGTACTAGTACTAGCACTATTACTAGTACAAGTACTACGACTAATACTATTACTACTACTGGAGGCTGAGAGGAGGAGGAAGATGAGGAGGAGGAGGAATCGGGGGTGGAGGATGAGGAGCTGAAGTCACCATAATAACAAGAGCAATAACCATCCGAATAATGAACAACATAATGATACCTCGAATACCAATGCTATTAGAAATGATGCTACTCGTAGTAAGCAAGCCAGTACTGATGATGCTGCTCAACTATAAATCCTATTATCTTGATTCGTAGTAATTACTGCTAATGATCAAACTGTTAGGAACAAGACAATCTCTATTATCAATCATGATAAGAATGCTACGACCATAATAATGCTACTGCTGCCATTCTTATGACCACTCATACCATCACTACTCGACTACGAATACAGATAATATGATGGGGGGCGGAGGAGGAGGAGAAGGAGGAGGAGGACGACCAGTGGAAACCCAAGAGTCATCAACGATGTTGGAATACATCCTCCCTCCAAGCTCCCTCTTCATAGGCCCCTACAACGGCTCATTCCCATTGAGGTGTTGCGTCTTGATGATGTTGAATCGTACCAGAACACCATTCCTAAGACTAATTCGGCGAATCAAGGCAACTGTTGCGCCCTCATAATCCTGACGCCTTCCAAAAAACAATGTTCGGTATGCTGACCATGGGAATCCGTGAAACTCTAGAATGCGCGTGGCGCTGAGGCGAGAGCCACATTTAGAAAAAAGGAACCGCCCTCTATCCGTGAAGCTCTTGCAAATGTTTAAGACGAATGCGCGCGGCGCTCAGGCGAGAGCAACATTTTGAAAACCACCCGCCCTGAATCCGTGAAGCTCTTGCAAACTTTGAAAACCAATGTACGCGGCGCTAAGGCGAGACCCACAGTTTGAACACTGCCCGCCCTCAATCCGTGAAACTTGTGTAATTTTTGAGCGAATGTGCGTGGCGCTAAAGCGAGAGCCACATTTTGGAAGCCACCCGCCCCTCAGTTGTGAATTTGTTGTCATTTTGCAAGCTTCAGGGTGAGGAAGTGAGGTGCGAAACGCCCGGCCCGCCCTAAAAATTGGCTTCGGGGTGCGACAGGGAGAAGTTATTTACAAGGAAAAGGACTGGAGGAAGAGGAGGAGGAGGAGGAGGAGGAGGAGGAGGGGGACGATAGGGAGGGTGGGAGGAGGAGGACGAGGAGGAGGGTGGGAGGAGGAGGGTGGGAGGAGGAGGAAGAGGAGGAGGAGGATGATGATGAGGAGGAGAAGCAGGAGCAGGAGGACCAGAATGAGGAGCAGGAGGAGGAGGAGGAGGAGGAGGAGGAGGAGGATAAGGAGCAGCTGGAGCAAGAGGAGCAGGAGGAGCGGCAGGAGCGGGAGGAACAGGAGGAGCAGGAGGAGCAGGGAGAGGATAAGCAGGACGTGCATGCGGTAGCGGCTGCAGACAGGCAGATGGAAAGTTTCGCACGCGCGTCAGAAGGTTTCTGGATCATGTGTGGTGAGGAAGTCTCAGGCGAAACGCCCATCCAGCCCTTTCGACCGGCCTCTGGGTGCGACTGGGAGGAGTTATCTGTAAGGAAACGGAATGGGGGGGAGGAGGAGGAGGAGAAGGAGGAGGAGGAGGAGGAGGAGGAGGAGGAAGAGGAGGAGGAGGAGGAAAACGAGGATGAGGAGGGAGGAGCAGGGTATCCTGGCATGGGCATGGGCATGGGCATGGGCGCCCAGCAGCCCATGGCGCCGGGGTTCGGGCAGCAGCCGCAGCAGCAGGTGCTGCACGCCCACTTCTGAGCCAATCTGTGACCCGCGGGGGCGCTGCGCTTTCACTTGTCGCGGTCGCCGGAGGTGGAGGCGGGACAGTAGCAGGAAGAGGAAGATACGGATGATAATGGAGATCATGATTTTTTTTCTTCCGGACGTAACGCGTGTTACCCCCCTCCCGACCCCCCCCCCTCGTAACGGTGACGCGGGGAAACCGGCTGCAGGCGTGAACGCGTGCAATTTCCCATGGAGGAGGTGGAGGAGGAGGAGGAGCAGCAGCAGCAGGAGCAGCAGCAGCAGGAGGCGGAGGAGGAGGATGACGATGAGGATGAGGACGAAGAGGAGGAGGAAGGAGGAGCTGCGTAGGAGGTGAGGAGGGGGAGGAAGAGGAGGAGGAGGAGGAGGAGGAGGAGGAGGAGCTGCAGGAGGAGAAGGAGGAGGGGCAGGAGGAGGAGGAAGGAGGAGGAGGAGGAGGAGGACGAGGAAAGAAAGGGGTGAAGGAGGGGGAAGGAGGAGGAGGGCCAACACGACGACGACCGACGTAGCCGGGAGGCTCCGAGAGGTGCACGCAGGCACGGGGGCCTCGTTCGGCACACGGTTGTTGCCGATGCTGCTGCGGCGACAGGTGGTGTACAGAAGCGTTGTGGTGCACGCAGGCATCGGGGTGTACGCGGGGCGAGCTCACACAGATGTGGTGCACACTCTTATTCAAATTTACCTATTACTACTTACTCGTACTTTTACTGGCGCTGCGTACAACTAATTTTCCTGCTACTGTTACTGTCTGCTACTGTTCCTACGACTATTAATGTGAGTACTACTACAACAACTACTACCACTATTACTACCACTGCTATAGTTATTGCAAGTACTACGACTACGACTACTACTACTACTACTACTACTACTACTACTACTACTACTACTGCTACTACTACTACTACTACTACTACTACTAATCGTTGCACTACTATTATTACTACTACGACTACTCTTACTATTACTATTTCTACTACTACCACTGCTACTACTACTATTACTACGACTGTTACGATTACTACCACTGCTGCTACTACTACTACTACTACTACTGCAACTGCTACTCGTGCTGCTACTACTACTACTACTACTACTACTACTACTACGATTGCTAGTAGTACTGACTAATTATATGTTTACTTTTTCTGCGACTACTACTACTACTACTACTACTACTACGACTACTACTACTACTACTACTACTGCTACTACTACTACTACCACTACCACTACCACTACTACTATACTACTACTACTACTACTACTACTACTACTTACTACTACTACTACTAACTACTACTACTACTACTACTACTACTACTACTATACTATTACTACTACTACTACTACTACTACTACTACTACTACTACTACTACTACTCTACTACTACTACGGCTACCATTATTGTTACTACTACTACTACTACTGCTACTACTACTACTACTACTACTACTACTACTACTACTACTACGACTACTGCTACTACTGCTACTACACTTTTTACTACTACTGTTGCTGCTACTACTACAAATACTACTACTACTGGTACTGTTGGTACCCTTATTACTTGTATTTTTGGGCTACTACTACTACTACTACCACTACTACTACTACTACTGCTACTTCCATTTGTCCTACCAGTACTGCTAGTAGCACCGGCACTAATCGTATTAGCAGTACTACCAGCATTAGTGTAGTTACTCGTACTAGTACTGATAGTAATCCTCGCACTACTCGTCTTACTCGTACTACTCGTACTCGTGCTAGTGCTGGTACTCGTATCGGTGCTAGCAGTCGCTTCGGTGGCCGCCGTTACTGTCACTCCCCCTCTCACCCTAACGAAACACGCGTTACTAACCAGACAAAAGGACAGTGTCATGGTGATGGTGTTGAACTCTCACTCCTGAAAAAGAGTTAGTTTTGCTTCCGCCATCCCGGTGCCTGTTGTTTTCCTCGATTGGAGTGCCCTCCCCACGGCGCCCGCCCGTTTTTTAATGAGGGAAGATAATCCTGATCGAGCTGTGCCCCTGGCCACTAGTTTACAACAGCAGCGGCTCCCGCCTGATACGTCACAACAATCTATTAATCGCTTCGCTCATTCCGCTGGCCCATCTTGCCTCGCCGCTGTCGTCGGTCGGGCTGTTGTTGTCAATGCGGTGCGGTTGGGCGGCTGCCTTTTTTCGGAGGCGGTGGGTGGCGGGTCAGAGGCCTCGCGGATATTGGTTGGACTCTCGTGGTTGGCTTCGGGAGGCAGTTTTGAGGCCCTTGGGATCAGTGTTGGAGCCTCTTGGGGCATGTTGGGGGCCCCTTGGGGCTTCTTGGGATGCCTCTTGGGGGCACGTTGGGGCCTCTTGAGGGCCTCTTGGGGCCTCCTGGGGGCTTCTTGGGGCTGCAGGCTGGACTTTTCAGTTCCTGGTGCCGTTCTTGGGCCCCTTTTGGGGCCGCTTTGGAGCTCTCTTGGGCCGTCTTGGGCGCCT